ATTACTATGTTGCACACCTGAAACCATTATGATACTGGAAGTCAACTATACTTCAATAAAATAAAAGACTTACAGCATTTCTGCCTTTCTGATTCCTACAGCACATCCACTGTGGCCTGACATTTGTGTGCAGGTCTTACTACCTTCCTCAACCAAATCATTAAGTCCTTGAGGATATTTACACATTGTAGTTCTCAGTTTTCCCTGAATGAACAAAGGTTATTTTTTTCCCCTCCAACCTCCTCCCACTCTCCGCGCAGCACAATCTCCTCCTCATTCGTTGTTTCAGCAGGTATTTATTGAGCTCTGTTATTCAGTAGGCATTGTGTCAGGCCCTGGAGATGAGTAGGACCCTCATGATCCCTGCTGTCACAGAGCTCACAGTCTAGTAGGGAAGACATATCAACATATAAGTTTAGGTGTGGCCTGTGTGACATATACATGAGGCGGGGGGCCGAGCAGGGGGTCAGACAGACTCTAGTATTACCTAGAACAGTCCCTTTGCTCTGTTATAAACTAGGCACACTTCACAGCATAGTGAATAGTGAATCGTGACAACTATTACCAAATAAAAGAAACTTTATTATAGAACATATATCATAAACTTGGTTTAAATACAAATTTCCTGGAGCTGATTGTCATAGAACTTTTTAATTAATTCATTATAAGTGCAAGGATTTACACTAGTTACTTTATACAATATTATTTTTGGTCTTCACAGCAATCTTTCAAGGTGGGTATCCTTATACCCATTTTAGTGATAAGGAACAGGTTTTAAGAGATCAAATTACCCTGCTCAGACTCCTAGCAATGGAGGGCAAAGGTGGCTTCGGATCTTTCCAACATACTTGCACCATGGTTTTCATACATATGTGATCTGATTCCAAAGCATTATTTTTGGCTATGGTATGTTAATAAAGTGCTTTATAACTGAAAATAAATAAATAAATAAACATAATCCTTAACTCATAAGCTAATATCTGACAAGATATTCCTGAAAAATTAAGATGCCTATCACTTAGTTAAAAAAAAGTGGAATAAATTTTTAACCACAGAATATTATATTTTGTTCATCAAGTAGCCTGATGTCTTTATTTTAAAGATGTTGAGTGACTTCCTTAAACTTGTATAACTAGTTTGTGGCAGAGTCAGAATAAGACCCCTAGGTTTAATTCACTTTTGCTTTTTACTATTCCATTCTTGAACTATTTAACACAGAATTATTATTTTTTAAATTAAATTATTTATTGGAAAAGAGAACCTTATATAAGATATTAACCTACAACGAAGGAAGGGATTACAATGCTATATACTAATATTCATCTAAGATAGCAAAGCAATGGCATTTACCTTAAATTTACGTCTCTGCTCTGCACAGCTCTTGAAGAACCACAAGTCTGTCTCATGGCTGTAAATGTAACAAGAACAATAATGCGACCAATTTTCATACCTAAACTAAATTAAGTAGATTTGTCATAGGCTAGAAAATTGATAATGTAGTTCACAATTTTTAAAAAAAATTTTAAGTTACAGATTATGGAAGTGTGCATGTATGTATACGTAAATGTGTGTGTGTGCACAGATGTGTATGAATTTACTCTTTTTAATAATGTGGAAATCAGTTTCATGAAATTGAAAGCATTATATATTCTCTTTGTTTGGCTAACTTTTCTCATTACAGAACACTATGGGTACATCAAGCACAGGAAGTGCTAAAAGTAAATATAGATAAATAAAACAAATTACAATGAGAGGCTGTCCTCAGCTGTTATTAGGTAATGTTTTTCTGGGATACGTAGTAAATATGTAAAGAAGAAACATCTGGTAATGCTTAGATTAACATCAGCCCCCATTTGCATCACAATCTCTATATTATTCATCAATATGTCCTTAATCAATGTACCTACTGATTGGACCTATTCAATTGGTGTTTCATGTAATGAACAGAATATGTAAACATGTTTCAAATACATATATTCAGATATCTATACACGAAAGTGAAATCACTATTACAATCAGTGCTCAAGCTTGTCAGATGTGATTTTTTTTCTTTCCAATTTGCATTAGATATGCTAATATCTATTCTATCTGCAGCACAAAATCCTAATGAAAAAATGTAAATGAAAAACTAATAGTAGATAAATACTAGTCTACTAGAAATAATCTCTCTACCATGTCACACTTCAAATCTGGCCACCACTTTCAAACATTTAAAGGAAATTCAGTTGAATGTAACAAAGCAACCGAGTATTGTTCTTGTGACTTGAGCCATTAAAACAGATTTTTTAAAATCTGCACTTTCTTCCAAATGTTATAAAATAGTTCCCCATCGACACTGTACTTTAAAGTGAAAACCTCATATCTCTTTTCGTCTTCTAAAAATAGTTTATGCCTGATAAAGTACAAGCCACCATGATCTATTATTAACACCAAGTACCTTACCTTGCAAGTACAGATTCTGAAACATTTTCAATTATCTTTTTTAATTCTAAAAGATAATCTACACCAACTCTATTATGAAAGGTTGGTTAAACTCATAGTAAGTATAAAGAACTAGGCTGTGAGAGAATCATACAAGTTTTAAAGTGTTACTTTCATATCAAATGGTTACAATTTTAAATGAAAATATTCTACCTTTTCTTTAACATAAGTGGCAAATAGCGCAACTCATGTTAAACAGTATTTGCAGATGCAAAGATAAGCATTACCCAATATCCCCCTTTGACAACATGTGTAAGCTAGTATAAAATGCTATTAGGTTTTTTATTAGATTTTTAATACAATCCCAGCATGTTTCCTGTTGCTAACCTTATCAGGACTATGAAACACTAAAACTGTAGACTCACATCATACTCATTTTGGTGTATATTTTGGTGAACAAGTAAGTCTTCATTCATTATTTCTAACTTATTCACAAAAAACAACTTGTCATTCCTAGGACATTTTGGCATGAGCTCCTATTAAAATTACAAAATAATAATAAAATGCTACAGTTTCACAGTCTGTATACTGGATATATATTCATAAGCATATGAATCACAAAACATTAAATATAAGTGACACAATGGTTGTTTGCGGTAATGGTTAGCAACTGAAATTGTTAAAAGGTATTTCTAATGCTTCTACTTATCCTTTGGTGATAAAACAACAAAATTGAGTTCTACTCAAAATTTTATTTATATAGCATTTGGCACAGGAGCCATATTTTCTTATTTTAGAGTCATTAATATGTCCACATTATATGTGTGTGTTTTCCAGGAAAAATTATGTTATATTTTAGTTAATCCAAGTATCACATTTTGCCTTACAAACAACAACAAAAAAAGAAAGCAGAAAAACTAAAGCCCAGCCATTCTTTGCAGAGCCACCCTGGTAACCAGCAATAAAGAAACTTCTACTGAACTTAGCTTTGGAGAGGAAGAAACCATGTCATCTGTTTTATCAAGAGACATGATAAAAACAGAATTAGGACAATGTACAGTGTTTTTTCAGATATTTGAAACAATAAACTCTTTCTTACCTCTGGCTTATGCTGCCAGCATCTAAACCTCCTTTGCCATACCAACAAGAAAGCAAGATTCCCAGTCTGAAGCCATAGTGATAATAAACATTTCATTTGCTATCTTCTGTGACTTCTATGTAAATTTTTCTCTGTCATGTAAATGTGTGGAGAGGCTCTCATGGAATCAGATAACTCAACAGAAATGCTCCAATCACTGTTATTACTCGAGAAGGGATATGACAGTGAGGAAAGTTTGTCACTACAGAATTACTGACTAGTTAAGCAAAAGAACGTGAAATTTATTTTAAGAGGGAAAAAAAATTAAAATGAATCTTAAACTTAGGCTGATTCAATGTAGCTTTCACTTGAAATCATGGTAAACACCTGTACCTCATAACCCCTGTCCCCAAGACTCCCTCCTCCACATCCACCTCTCACAAATGGGTTTGTTCCCCAGAATACATTCTCATCTCAAATTGGCCTAGGGAACATATATTTAATCTGGTTTCTAGGTAATAAGTAGCTTCTGGATTGTGTAGAGCAGTAGCCAATAATTCTCTGTTACACAAACTGTCAGTAGGGCCATCATGTGAGACTTAGTTAATAACATCTGAGAGTACACTTGGAAAGGAAAACAGCTAAGCCATAAAAAATTTTTTTTCAAGATTGTTTTGCTAAAATAAAGCAGTAAGAAAGATGTTTACTTTTTTTTAAAATTAAGCTTACTCATTAGACATGTATATAACACATGATTCCAAAAGGACTGCTTATCTTTCAACAGAACTGATAAACATTTTGAATGTTTTATGCAACTCCAGATTCTACCTTTCAAACATGTTAAAAGTACACTCTAAAAATGTTTCTTCCCCTTAATGTCCTATATGTTTTGGTTAAGGCTATATAAAACAACGGCTATATTAACACAAAAAATTACTTTGAAAGACATACATACTATGTTTCACAGGACAAACACAGTGAGTAAGGACAACAAACTCCAGAATGTGTTTTTATAACTGTAGTAACAGCAGTAACTCCTTGGCAAACTCAAACAGTTTTTTTTGCAACCTGGGAGGTTTTCTGCATTTGTCACTTGGATACAACTGCAAAAGAGTTGTCTCAGACTGCTTTGTTTCCTTCTCTACCATTTACTATCGTTTTGTTTCAAAGGAAGAAACTTCACATTTTAACCTGTTTATGAATAAAATTCCACTAAAACCCCACAAGGGAGTTTTACACAAAACTCTTTACGCCTATGTATACCAAATGTTGTTCCTGCATAATTTTTCCAGTAAGTGACCTTGTACACTTTTGCAATCTATGCTTATAGAATATTATTTTTCCCTCTTTCAAGAAGATAAATGAGTTTTCTTTTTGAATTAAAATCACTTACATACGCAAATGTAAAAACTTTCTGTACGAATACAACTGAGTCTGCACATCTGTTACCATTATGAACATTTTTTATACTAAGACCTCTGGATAGGAATGCGTTACTAACCTGCAGTGGCCTCTGTTTATCACTGCTCTTAGGAGATTTCAATCCACTTGTTTGCTGCTGTAAGAGAAGTTGTCTTGCTGCTTGGAGCGCCTGGAAGTGAAAAGGGAACAGTATCTAAATATTTTGTTGGAAGGTAAACTATTTTCAGTTATTCCTTGGTTAACAGTAATAGGCTTCAATGTCTGAGAATCCTCCCCCCGCCTCATTTCTAGAGAGAATCATTAAATATTCTTTTCCTTCTATGTGAAAAAAATTTCACATAACACATACATACAACTTTACTTAAAATAACAGAGATGCATTTAATCCTGCAGAAAATAAAGTTAATTTGTTTAAAGTGCTTAAATAGGCAAAAATCATAAACTGCATCAATAACCTCATTTCCACAAGGAACTTGTCTTTGAGTGTTCAACTAAAATGCCCACTCCCTTTTAAATTATCACTCAATTTGCATTTTCATATTACAATTTTGAAGCAAAAGCAGTAGACTTCAAGTGTTACCGGAAGCTGTAATTAAATTTGACAAATCAACATCAGATTATCTTGAAAGTGAATTAATAAGGATTTTCACTAAAGATTAAAAACACTTTTTTTGTACTTACAATTCAAAGGGAAACCTCTCCTTTGACAAAATAAAGTGCAGTTTTAATGCCAAATAAAATTGAGTGGTTTTCATTTGCATTCTTAGCAAAATCAGAGAACAAAGAAATTACCACTCAACCAATCAGGTTTGTTTCTATGTGTGACAGAATACCAATCAAAATAGAAGATGTTTTCATTTATTTTTATGTTTCTTTTCCACTCAGGAAAATCAAACTTAACATAAAAAAATCAATGTAAGCATTTCATTTACTGGAGGAGGGACAGTTTGGTAAGTGAACTATATAAACATCATATAAAAACTGTGCCATAAAAATATATATTGAGATCTTTTAAAGGCACCAGTGTAAAGTAATTTAAAAAAACTTTTTAAGAGCCTCTACAAACTCATTGTTTCTCTCAACAACTGAGTTCAATGAACACTAATGATGAAATTTTTTGACCCATAAAACTAAAAGAAATCATTGCCCTACTTTGTTATTCACTGTTTTAGAATACAAGGTAAATTTTTCATGATGGGAAAAATACCTTAGATCAATATTCCTCTATAATAATTAAGATTCTAAGCTGATAAAAAGTACAATTTTGATTGGAATCAATGATCTGGTTTTTAAGACAGTTTCTAGTATCCATGACAACAGTTGCTTTGACAAGATGTGCATATGGCATTACACTGCCAGCTGGTGTGAACAATGTTTGAACTACTGCATTGAGATGCTGAGCAAACAGAAAAAGTTGCCACGTCTTAACCCTCAGGGAAGGCAGTCATCCCCTGATCAATTATGAAAAGACAGAGAGAGGGCTGCTACAGTCTGGCTCCAAGCAAGTTTTCTGAGAAGGCAGGCAGACATAGAAACCAAAGTAAACAAACTGAATGCCCCCGCACATCTCCTAACAACATTGATTCGTCTTCCCATAGCAGGAGCTGGCAGAGTTTGTCAAGCACACTTTTTACATTTGGAGACACACTTATTCACAACAATCTTCCCTTTGTTTTTTGAATGTTTCAAGTAATTGCAAGTCCGCCTAAATGTTTCTGAGGATGGCACATTCCAGTGAACTCCAGAAATTTTATTATAAAGTTCAGTGTGAAAATAAAGACTGGAGAAAAAAACTCCATAGACAGTTTATTATCCCAAAACTCAGTTGAAAAAATTTCACTTGATATCCTAAATAATACAGCTTTCTTTTTTTAAATTGTGACTTACAACGTAACTACATATGATATTTTTAAAATGTAAATTACTATAGTGTGACTTAGGCTGACTTAGGCTGTGTCTATGTGAAAATTTCAAAGTAAAAAAAATCAACTATTTTTTCCTTTGATGCTAAAATCTACACATGGTTTGCCTAATTTTTTCATATAATTTTTTCCTTTGAATTTATTTGTTTTGTATGTATAAAGCTTTATTCAGTTTACATGCAATTCTGTAGTCATGTATTATTCTTAAAGGCTTCTAATGAACATAGTTCAGAATCCTGGAATTATGAATAATTAGGATTAAAATTGATGTTAGAAACTATCCAACGTGACCCCTTCATTCTCGCAAAAGACAAAAATAGGGCCTAGAGTAATCAAGTGCTGTTGAAGGTCTCCCCCTTCCAGGCCAGAGTGCATTCCAGAGCACCATGCTGTCCCTGGGCTACCAAAGGAGCCATCAGATGACAATGAGTCCAACTCTGGTAAAGGAGAACAACGAGTAAGGTGAGGGAGAACTCTGGCACCACAGTGAATTATGTTTCACCTGTAAAGAGAGCGTATTCTTTTATCAGAACTTGAAAACCACAATATCATCTTTTTATGTTTTGAACTTGTGTTTGAACAGAGCTATCACAGAATATATATTGTTTTTATGGCTGAGTGTTCCCACCATCCTTGACTTAGATTTCATTACATCTTCTATCAGTACCTGAATGGAGGTCTAAACTCTTGTAAAATTCTGATCATTTGACCAGTTATTACTAATAAGCTGAAGAATTCTAGAGCTGGACAAAACCTCAGAAGTTGTTTAGCCTAGCTTTCACGTTTTGTAGACGGGTAACTGAAGAACCAATACTACAATAACTTGATTAAAGTCACAAAGCAGAAGCAGTCTGGTCAAAAGCTAAGACTCTAGTCTCTCACGCCTAGGACCCTATCTACCTCACCCCATTGCACTGTATTCATTCAACTCAACACAAACGAGTAACCCAGAGCAATATTAATACCCAGTGGCTATAGGAAGATATTAGACAATTAGATGTATTAGAACTGTGGCTCATGAAAATATCACTAGAATAAAGGTGCACTGTTTTTAAAAGAGTAATAATAATAATGGAATACCACAAGATAGCTGGCTAAAACACGCTTCTACTTTTAAAGTACCTTAGTTTCCACATTCATTTATAGTTATCTTTGAAATAGTAAGGAATTATCTTTCAATACAAACTCTTACGAAAAAGAACTACTTGCCTATATCTACATTCTTTTAGTAGCAGTAGAGATTGCTATAGTAAACATAAGAGATGGAAGAACAAAAACAATTCCAAGAGATCAGGAATGATTTAAAACTCATAAGCAGAAATCTTTGGCAGTTTGCATTCTAACTGCAGGCATCACATGACATTTTTATTTCCAGTATTCTGGATAACATTTTAGGATTGGATTTCAACAAACAACTGCTCAGAGACATTTAGTTCATCTTTGCAATTTATTATTGTAGCTACTCAAAAGATGAAAGATTATGAGATAAAATATTGCCATCAATATAAGATGTTAGGTGTCAAATACATAAAATATTAACTTAAAAATCACTTGCCCACTTCAATTGGTAAATAGAAAAGATAAATTCCAGGGTTATTCATAAAGTTCTGTGAGTCATTCAGGTTATTTATATAATCCCCCTCTGGCAAAAAAATTAATTTAGAACAAAAGGCAAAAGATGTTTACAAAATTTCCTTTAATAATGACTGAGTCTGATGCAAATGAATAACAAAAAAGAGGTTTCTAAGACTGCCAAATCATATCTAGTTTCCAAAAACACATTTGTTTTGAATTAAGGGTATACTTTGCTTAATGAAGTTATCTAATGTTACTAGAGCTAAAGAAAATTAAGATAGGACACTTTAAAAATTGGAATTAGATTAAACTAAAATATTTTGAAAAGGGATAAAAATCTCTATAATAAAGGTATATTTTTTGTTAGGCTGCAGAGGTGTGGGAATGTTCATGTTTTCCAGAATTCAATGTATTTTGCTATAAATTTTTTTACTGCAAATATCATTCCTAATAGATACTATGTAATTTCAAACAAAAATTTTGTGAAGCAAAGTCCTAGCATATCACCCTTCTTAAGTCAGGAATAACTTTACGTTAGTTATGAACCTCACAAAGAGTCATTCAAGTGAGTAGGTCATTATGAGACTTAAGATGAAAAACCTTTGCATCCTGCCAGATCAATACTTTTTTTTTCTTGAAGAACACAGGAAAGTTTCACCAGAAGTGAAGTTGTTCAAGATCAGATTCGAAACACCCAGTGAATCCAAAAATGTTGAGTACTCTAAGGTTTATAAATAACTTTTTTTTCAAAGTAAACATATGTATATTTTGGGGAAAAATAGACATCACTCATATCTCTCCCCATAAAAACAGGAATGCTTAACCTATCAGCCTGTTGCATTTGAGACATTAAAATGAAAAATGACATCTACGCCCATTAATATCTTCAATGTATAAACAGCACAGCGTGACACATTCTTGAGAGCTGAAGGCTACAAAATCTCTCTGAAACATAAATAACAAAGCACTCAGAAGCATATTTGATGTTGATATTCATCTCTGAGAAAAACACTGCTGCCCAGGCTTCTTATGAAAATAGATGCAGCCCAAATGGATCTCCTGTAATTGGTTTCAGATAGCGAGGTCAGAAGAAATACGATACAAGAAACGATTATGTGGAACAGGCGAAACTAGAATGTTTACACAGGCACTCCCTAGTTATACTGACAAGGGGTGTACGCTTTGCAGATAACCAGAACCAAAAAAAAAAAAAAATTGGCCAGCAGGATATCCAGAATTTTGTTCCTCATACTCACATTTTTAACCTTGTACACATGACGTCTTTTAACATGTTACTTTGAGTATCTAGCTTAAGTTTTCAAACAGAATTTCATTTTTAAATCACTTTCACAAGTATAGTTGATAATAAGTATATTCAGATCCTTCCACAAAGGATATGAATTCCTAGTCTGTTTCCTCGAATTATATTCCCACTAAAGAGAATATACTGATAAATGTAATCTGAAGTCTCATAATGCTATTTAATAGGAGAAAATTAATCATCTAATTGTCATAACCTATTTTCAAACAGCAATCTATCAGAGTGAAATTATGCATCTGTAGCAATTGACCTTTCATTTTATCATGCCTGATACATAATTAGACTGTTTGTTGGGAAAAAAACTAATTACTAGAAAATATTTTTAAAAATATATTTTTTTTGTTTTACAGT